CGGGTATGATTTACGACGTTTTTTTAACCATCAATTAATCAATGGATATACTTATACCATCGATTTTCGTCCTGGGGGTAATTAACCTCGAGGGGATAATTTGGATATTTTTGGGGGTAATGAGACAATTATATATTGAAGACGTTTTTGATAATGAAAATTGTGCATACTGCTCCTTTAATAGTCCATATTCCATATATATTATTTCGTTATTTTCCACAGAAAGCAGAAACTAAACAGAAAATGTCATGGGTAGTGTATAACAGTCCATTATGGAAAAAAGATAAGGTGCCCACATCTATCAAACCCTCTCCTAGAACCCCAGAATGCCAAGAACTTGAGAAAAACTTTGTAAACGATGGAATTAAAACGAATGTATACAATAAACCAAGAAAAAGACCAATCATCCCACCATACGACGCAGTTAAAGATGAATACGCACAAGCATACTTTAAATCACCAGTTGTACAAGGCATAATACACAGACACGAATCTTTAAAGGTGAGTATATAGGCCTACATTTTGAATGGTTAAAAATATACAGACCTACATCATGCTCATATGGATATGTGTAGATATATCGCCGTAGCCCCTTGTACGTCCACAATTTTTGTAGACACGAAAGAAGCTACAGTTTCATCCGATCTAGATGCAATTTGCAATCCATGATGAAATCTCACCTCAGTTAAGTTCGAATGTCAAATCTTGAATGAACGGTTTTTGAGTAATTCCCCTGACTTAACAACGTGTGCAATATGGCTTGTAAACATAATAGAATATACAATTTGTATCCGATCTTACTGAAACGATAGACTACAGTTTGTACCTTATCTTAATGAAACGATAGACTACAGTTTGTACCTTATCTTAATGAAACGATAGACTACAGTTTGTACCTTATCTTAATGAAACGATAGACTACAGTTTGTAACCTTATCTTAATGAAACGATAGACTACAGTTTGTACCTTATCTTAATGAAACGATAATTACAGTTTGTACCTTATATTAATGAAACGATAGACTACAGTTTGTACCTTATCTTAATGAAACGATAAACTACAGTTTGTACCTTATCTTAATAAAACGATAGACTACAATTTGTACCTTATCTTAATGAAACGATAGACTACAGTTTGTACCTTATCGTAACGAAACGATAGACTACAGTTTGTACCTTATCTTAATTAAACGATAGACTACAGTTTGTACCTTATCTTAATGAAACGATAGACTACAGCTTATACCTTATCTTAATGAAACGATAATTACAGTTTGTACCTTATCTTAATAAAACGGTAGACTACAGTTCGTACCTTATCTTAATAAAACGATAGACTACAGTTTGTACCTTATCTTAATAAAACGATAGACTACAGTTTGTACCTTATCTTAATAAAACGATAGACTACAGTTTGTGCCTTATCTTAATAAAACGATAGACTACAGTTTGTGCCTTATCTTAATGAAACGATAGACTACAGTTTGTACCTTATCTTAATGAAACGATAAACTACAGTTTGTACCTTATCTTAATGAAACGATAGACTACAGTTTGTACCTTATCTTAATGAAACGATAAACTACAGTTTGTGCCTTATCTTAATGAAACGATAGACTACAGTTTGTACCTTATCTTAATAAAACGATAGACTACAGTTTGTACCTTATCTTAATGAAACGATAAACTACAGTTTGTACCTTATCTTAATGAAACGATAGACTACAGTTTGTATCTCATCTTAACGAAACGATAGACTACAGTTTGTGCCTTATCTTAATTAAACGATAGACTACAATTTGTACCTTATCTTAATGAAACGATAAACTACAGTTTGTACCTTATCTTAATGAAACGATAAACTACAGTTTATATCTTATCTTGATAAAACGATAGACTACAGTTTATATCTTATCTTAATGAAACGATAGACTACAGTTTGTACCTTATCTTAATGAAACGATAGACTACAGTTTGTACCTTATCTTAATAAAACGATAGACTGCAGTTTGTATCTTATGTAATGAAACTTATTGTGTTTGTATATTATACATCTATTGCTCTTGGTTATGTTAGATTTAGAAAACAATGCGTCAAATTTGCTTTGTAGACACGATATGAAATTCTGTATGTTTGCATGAAATCCATGACTAAACATATCCGGATTTAGCAATTATTGGGTGATCAGATACTTAGGGCAAACTACGAGGCCATGGTGAGACAAGTGTTTAATACGGGTTAATACGATCATGTCAAAACCCGTATTCGCAATACGATCTAGAGCTGATGCCTTTCATTTAGCAAAAACTTTTTCAAACTTAATCAAATTTTGATTACCCTTGGGCGTATGGCAAGCTATCTTTAAAACATATGAATTATGGCATCGTCGTGTATAATCATGGATAAAGATAATCGTTTTTGTCCGTCAATCTGTTCACAAATGCTCGTAAGCAGCATCCCCGACAGATTTTGACGAACTTGTCAAGTATCACCCAGGGCTGAACCCCAAAATTGTTAATCACGTATCACGAATGAACCCTACCAATTATCAGAAAAATATTGTTCTTGTTGTTCGAAAAACGTCTGCTTTAGGGCCATAAACACTCCCCCAGATAGCGCCACATGGAGGAGTGATTTTGACCTAAAAAGCAGACGTTTTTCGAGCAACAAGAATTATCCTTGACGGGACTACTTTGCCCTTGCCTTCGTATGATCGCAGTCATGAGTAACGGTTCACATTATAGCACACTGGACAGTAATTTCTGCCTTCAAAAGGAGAACAGTAATAGAACAATGGCTTAATTATTTAATTCCAGTATTATTCTTTTTTAGGAAATGAAAGAAGAGAAAACAAGATTAAACCTCAACAAACTTAGTGCTAGAAGACGAATTCCTCTCAGTCCACTTGATGACGAGTTAGACGAACGAGAGAAAAAGTTTGTTAATGATGGCATTTGTACAGAAAGACGGCGAACGAAATATAAAGATGTGATTCCAGAATACGAAGCCACCAAAGATTACCATACCAGCCGTTATACCAAACGACCAGACGTTCAACGCCTATTAGCTGTCACGTGCACACCACGTGGTAAGATTTGTGTTATTTTCCTTACAGAGACATTAAAGGGATTGTCAAGAGGTTTTCCAAACTTTTTATGTGTATCGGGGACACTGCTGAAATGAATTTCTGCGTTTCCAATTTTCAATCATACGTTTATGGTTCTTGCAATTCCGGTAAATCTATTACGTCACTATCGCAAATAAAAGGTCCTTATATGTTATAAGGGGCGTTTGCGATAGTGACGTCACTAAACGCTGCGGTTTAGTTGAATTGCAAGGACCTCAGACGTCTGATTGAAAATTGGAATGGTGAAAAGCGATGATATCAGTGTTCCCAATAACAGAAAAACCTGTTTTCAATCGCTTTAAGAACGTATCCTGACTAGCCCCTTTCAATTCAATTTCATTTCATTCAATCGACTACTATTGTTTTGGTGTACTATTTAATATGTAATACTCGAATCAGACTAGATCAATAACACTCAACCCCAAAGCATAATAGACATAAGTCAATTATTTACCTTGTCGAGGTCTTTATTCATATCAATAATGGTCGGCCCTATTATACATGGTCTGTTTTGATTATAATATAACAATTTGTGGACTAATGGAGTATGAATTTCAAGTGTCATGGAAAAACAACATTGAGTATGCAAACCGAAATGATTTTGAACTTTTTTACGTCTTGCATTCGATGTTTTTCTTCAAATGAAACTCTGGCGTGTGGTTTTGAAACAAAACCTAGAGCAACAGTGAAAATGTATATTAATTACGTCCCCGAATGGCTAGTTGCATTATTAAAGGCAACGGTATTGAGTCTTCTGTGACGATGATTTTGACTGCTTAAAGGAGCACCTTCACTATCCGTTGGGCCAATCATACCTTAGTTTCAGAAACAGGAATTTTTTTTCCATGATCAGTAATATTGTTCACAGTTCACTGTCGAAATTTGAGCCTTTAAATCAATGTGTATCCATAATTATTCGCGTTTGAAAGTTAAAATTCGACTCCAATTTTTGTGAGACTATACCATATATAGAAAACACATATATATAGAAATAGACAGTGAAATTTCTAGTTTGAGGTATGTTTGAAGGGATTATGCGATTTTAGTGCGTTTTAATACTTCATAAGACTATTAAAGCACAATAAAATCCCAAATCAATCCAAGAAAATGCCGAATGTTCCCCTTTAAGATTGTATAATAATATAGGATTAGATTAAACATGTAACTTTGAACTCTTAAAATAATCGCGAACAATAATTGAATAGAAATATGACAACCCCACACACAGTTATGGTGACTTGATATTAATGTAGAAGTTGTTTTACTAAAAAATTAAAAATATTATATATTTTACGATATACATTTGAGGGGGTCATTTTAAAGTGGTGTAATAGTTTGCTTCTGATTTTGACAAAACGTTATTGACCTATGTAGATTAATGTAATGTCAAACGAGATGATATCTCGGTGAATGTTATTTTTTCAAGTTGTTATCCTTGACAAAGTGCCAACTCAGGGAAGTCTAAATTGTTAGTGTGATATAAATTTGTAGTTTTAAGCTGTCTAAATTTTTGAGGAACTTCGAAACAATTTGAAGAAAATATGCCTCAATTGAAATTAAGACGAAGTGTATTTGAGTATTTTAATCTTTCTCGGCAACTAATATTAAATACTGCTTAATAAATTAATGTTCAAACTGCATGACATCTTAGTAATGCAAGTCCCCTTGATATTCGTTTTCACAATCGATATATCACTTTACAGTGTACAAATCCCTTTAATAACGATTTAGGTAAACAAGCACGACAGTAGGGGATTAAGTCTGTCATGGCAACCTTTAGATTACCGTTCGGAGAACTTCAATAGTTTACTTTATTCAATGGTCTATAGTTTGAACTATTGAGAAGGTTATTCAATGTTGACTGTTGTACGAGTAAACTCACAAATCGAATTTTAATAATTCAAATAACAACTTTTATTGCTGATTAACAAATCGCTACAACAGGCTTACAATTGATCACTTCATTATATGGTGTTTAATGTGAATAGACCCTGATTATATTTTGAATGTACTTCATGATATTATAATAATATCTATTTGAGAGCGCTTGCGTAAGTGTTATGCTGTAATTGATCGAGTTGGTGGATTAAGATTACTGGACAGTGGGGATTATCGGATTATCAGTACCATTAAGTAATTTTAGTGATATTAATATAGTGATTCAGTGGCATATTTACGTTGTCAAGATTATCTTTATTAAGCTTCGTTTCCAAGGAGCTATCGGTTTTTCGTTACTTAGGAATTGTTCTTAAGCTTTGATTCTTCGAATACTTAGTACAAAAATATCAATACATAGGCATTATTTATACAAAGTTGTCCTTGTGTCCAAAGTGTACTGTGACGTTATTTCAAAATTTATAACTTGTGACATAGGGATATATATCCAACTGTGACGTCAAGTAATTGTTTTCTTTGTAGGTGGTAATAAATAATTCAGCAATATGTCCGAGTCACCAAAAGAGAATACCAAACGAGCCAACAAAATCTACAGAGCACCACCAACACCACCACCAAGCGATCTATTCGAAAAGGAAAAAAGCTTCATCCTAGACTGTAATGCTGTTAGTTCCATATCGAACGATTATTCTAAAATAAATCCAAAGTTAGGACCAGTTATAACACCATATAATTCACAAAAAGACAATCATGTTAAAAATTATTTTAATTTTTCTGGAGTTGATAGAACATTGAAGAAGACCGGCCAAGTAAGTTGATTTATAAATTTAAAGACAGGAAATTAACTTTACCCTTTACTGCTCCTCCGACAGCAAATCATTCTACGTAGGCCATCTTAATAGAAGTGCACAAAGTATTATGATATATGCAAGGAAAACAATGAGTGCTTAATTTGGATATTGAAAGCATGTATCTGAAAAGGCAACTTGTTTTTAGTGCATCGTGATTACAAACTGTAACGACATTTTACATGTAAATAACTTGAAGATTGAAGTGCGGCTTTGATGTTTGTACATCCAGAACTTGCTCTTTAGTTTTGAGTACTTGGTCGACGTAGGTCGAGTTTGTAGCCTGTTTATCAGAGGGACTAAGAAAAGAAAGAAAAGAAAGAGCTATATTTTACAACGATAACAACTTTGGTTCACAGTTAACGATCTTTCAGAGATTCAAAATGAACGCAGGATAGATCAGTGCTTTTCAACTTACTTATTCTTTCCTGGAAGAGTTCGTCCAAATCTATTCCTCCCTTATATAAATCAGTCATTTTGAAACGCATTTCACTCGAAAAATGTACAATAGATTAGTCATAAATAATTATACTACTCACACTATACATATCGAGAAAGTTCAATGTGACCCTTTGGGCCTCAAGTTCATTCATGATTTTCTGTATGTCCATGGTGAATGACGTCAATTGCAGTCGTGACACCCTTTCCCTCCCCAGTCCGACTATTCCTTCCCTGCTCCCCAGCCCTTTGGCAATTCCCCATCAAGGCCTTCCAATTCCTCCCCTGTTGACTGTTGCACTGGATAAATGCTGAGGCGCTGCTGTTTGTTCCTTTAACCAACATCACATAATGGCATTATAAGACAATCTAATCAATTATATAGTGATATATGTTCTACCTTTTAATGAATAATATATCACAAGCTTTAACAATAACATTTGATTGAATTGGACTTGAGCTTCGTTATAAAATCTAAATTGAGTCCACACAAAACCATTGCCTTTTATCATGTAAATAACTTGGGGAGTGTAGTGCATGTTTTGGAAATGCATGTACATCCAGAACTTGCTTTTTAGTTTTGAGTATTTGGTCAACGTAGGTCGAGCTAGTACCTTGTTTAATATCAGAGGGACTTAACTGAACAAATGTCAACTAGACACACATTTTATTAACTGTAAGGTTGAAATTTGAATATCCGCTTAATTTCTTTATTTCAGTATAAAACGGGAGAATCTATAAATGGTCATGTTTTGGATTATTTTCACGAGAAAGGAGCTGGTTACAGATATTTATCTAGAAGAAATTGTAACGGAGCTGGTAGGTTATTTTACTCTGTGCTCGTTTCGCCGGCTGAATGATGACCATGGCCATTCTGACAGTGGCGTTTCTACGAAAGGGGGCCGGGGACAAAAGAGGCTGTCCTAACTTTCCACTTTCCCCCCACTTTCAACAATTTACAGAAAAGATAGCCTGTGGTGCCCCCTGGAAAATTTTCTGGCCTCTGCTCGACCCCCTAAACTAATGTTACCTAGAAACGCCAATGCATTCTGACCAGAGAGAACTGTCATTGTGCCAAGGTGTCGGCTGGCCCCTCTGCCCATTTTGACTCCGCCACTGATCAACATACACCTCAGGACGTAGTCAACAAGTATCTCATTCTTGCCGTGGACATTATAGACCAATATATTTTCTTTTCCAGGTCGATCTCGTGAATCAATAGATGGTCACTCTCAATTTATGCAAGATGTTAAACCAGTTGTAGGTTATAATGGCCATTTTGGATACAGACGTAATACACCCTGGTTACGACAGAGTCCTTCACCATTTGGTACCAGCTCCAGCTCACCAACACATTAAATTTCATTGTGTCTTTTGTGAATAGCATGACTGTGATAACTTTGAAACCAGAAAATAATTCGTTTCAATATTGACGTTCTTGATTTTAGTTCTTTAGTCTTGTGATTATGTTGGTTTTTCTTTCTCGAATAGCTTTGGATTTATAAGTTGTTATTTTGTGAAAAATATGGACTCTAAATGAATTATCTTGCTGCAAATAGTTTTTGCTGACTCTTTATTATGGTGTTCTGTTTTGGTGATGAATGATTAGTTTTTTATTGTATTCTTCTATTTATTGTTTACATATTTTCATTGTATTTTGGAATTTTTAATGAAAACGTCTTGTCTTCATATCATTCTAAGCACTTATTGTAAATTACGGTAATGTTCCTTTTAAATAATGTATTAAAGCATTATTTCATTAATTATTTTGATATTACTCAAATTCCCTAACACTGTGACATTATGAACGTTTCGTTCTTTCTTTTATTTTTAATATAGCCACTTCAGCTAGTGTCTAAAGACGGTACACTTTTAATCAAATTCTTTCACTCTATAATAAACACCCAGCGCTGGAGAGGGCAGAAATTTGATTGGTTAAGGCATAGGTCATCAGGTTAGGTCAAAATGTTATTGAAACGAATGTTCACGAGGCCCTTCTGTAGACCCTAACTAAAGTGGCTATATTAAAACTTAAAGTTAATAAACACTGAACGAAAGTAAAATAAAAGCTTCCCTTTATTTTCTTCTGTTACTTGTTGCTATCATTCCGAGTTAGAAATGAAATTAAAAGAAATGGAGTTTTACATCCTACTCTTCAGCACCTACTTGGGCTAATAAAGACAGGCAATGCCATGGTGTGTGCAATGAGAGAAATTTTTCCCGGACAGCTGCATCACCCTACATTTTTTTGATTTGCCAACTGTGATGGAATCTTGAACCTGCACAGCCTGTAGTACATGAGGTCTCAGTTCTTGTCCCTTAAACTAGACAGTTTTTTTTCCATGACAGCCCTTTGGACCTGAATCTCTGACAAGGGGAAACCTGGTTGTAATAAATCTATTATCTCAACCTATACTGAAATTGAACCATTGACGTTCAGGTTAGCAAGGAAGGTTTCTTGTCGCTGAAAAAATAACTAGAGAAAGCAAAAAATTATCCTTTGAATAAGTTTAATAACAAGTAACATAAAGTAACAACAAATAATAACAGTTACATATTACTATATACTTCAGTTAAATAAATAAAACATTCATTGCAATGCTGAGACAAATTCTATTATTCTATAACAGGTGTAGAATATTCCAAACATACCAAAACTTCGTAGATGCTTAACGCAGACAAATTGCTTATTTCTTATCTTTATAATGTTAAGGTATTGCAAAGTCCATCTAGGTATTTTTCTTGTATCACAATAGTTTGGTAAATGAGCATTTTGATTGGATTGTATAAAAGCTGATACAGCCAATCAGAGTCCTAAAGACAAGGGTCGTTCTGTCAAGGGCTTTGATTTTTCTATATTTGCTAGCAAACATTGCTATGGCAATGCTGAATTTACAACCTTCCATGATAGAAGAAAAGTGCCTAATGATGTCAAGGAATAGGACAGAGTTCGTAATAACTTGTCATATCAAAAACTAACCTGCTGTAAATCTATAGAATTGTATTCAACATTTTGTTCATTCAAAATATTAGCTAAAAAGCATTGAAGCTACCAATAAGAATGGCATTTATAATGAGGAAAGACACATGTAAAAATTCAATGTATAACATGCCAGTCAAATTATATAGTTAAAAATGAGATTTTTATCTAAAAAGGGTATAAACTTACAAATACAAAATATTCAATGTTAAAATAGTGCTCAATGCATCATTTGTTGAGCGAATATAGGAATATAGTAAAATTAAAACAGAACCTGAAACATGTTGTATTGTTGAGTAACAACAAATGAGTTATATTGCAATTCAGACTGTGCATATATTTCATTAGAACAGATTATTAAAGGGACATTATGTGCCATTTTGGAGGGTTGATTCTAGTCTATAATATATGTAAATAGTCTTCAGAAGTACTAGAAATGTAAGAAAATTGCATAATTCCTTTAAAAATACTTTAAACTGGGAATTTTACTCACTATTTCTGTATATGTCTTTTTTCATATTTTGTCATTTTAACATTCAAACATGGAAAAGGAGTTGTTAACACTATCACTGATTAGTTTAGCTAAAAATTCCTGTTTCTGAGACTAAAGTATGATTGGTCCAAAAAATATGGCACATAAGTCTCTTTAAAGTAACAGAGTGCACCAATTCTCAGGGAACACACTGTCACTTTAACATAATAATCTTTACAATGAAAAGTTGGATGAAAAGTTGACAAAATGTTGATAAATCAGACTGTTTTTGAAAAAGTTGATACCAACAGAAGTTCATAGAACAAGAATTCTAATGCCATTAATCAAATACAAAAAATCACAATATTACCAAATACAGTAAGGTTGTAAAAACACTGGGAGAAATTATTTCATCAAATAATCACTCTCCCTTTAATTGCATTTCATGGAATGGGACTAATGTTTTTTTCTACATAGAAATGGCCATTTACAGGGATTGTAAAGAGGATTTCTAATTTTGTTATGCTTATCGAGGACATTGATCTCATCAATTTGCACCATTCCAATTTTCAATCAGACGTTGGTGGTTTCTGTAATACCACTAAAACTAAGTGTTTTATGACATCATCCCTGCAAAATTTGCTTGTATCACACATTGCGTCATAAAACACTTAGTTTTAGTAGAATTGCAGGAAACACAGATGTCTGATTGAAAATTGGAATGTCACAAATTGATACTATCAGTGTCCCCGATACACATACAAAATTTAGAAAACCTCTTGACAATCCCTTTAACATTATGGTTGGTAGGTGAAATATATATGTGTAAATAAGGCCATCGAAAAATTATGCATTAAGTGTCACAAATATAGGTATTTTTCTAAACAAAAATTAATTACTTGAAAGCTACATAAGAATTCTATATGATCTTTAAGCAAAATATCGCTTCGAAAAAGCAACACTTGAAAATAATTTCATATCATAACTAATCGTCTAATAACAGAAGATAACAACAAACATAAAAAAGACATATGTTCCCTTTAAAAAGACAAATACTTTTAAGTTAAGAATCATTATACAAAAGTTTTACAAAAGTTAAGAAAGTATAAAGTAAATATATTGTAACCTGTCTTGTTGATTTATAGAATGACTTTTTAATTAGCCCATTAAATTTTACTACAAATTTACTTTGATCCAGTACATACATAGATGTAAATAGCATATTTTAGAAATATTTTCAGATATAATTTTATTTATGATGTTTTTGATACTAAAAATATTGCATACTAGCCCTTTAAATATATACTTATACATTACAAAATAGGTCTAATGAAGGAAGCCACCTTTAAAATATATGTTATCTTTCAAGACATTCTACTTATTCTGACTATAAAAATTTTCCTGAGCTGCTGTTGCAGAGCTTGAATATCTGCTTTGTGAAAGTTTTTATCTTGGTTGTCAAATACAGTTCATCAAAATAGATTTATCATCATCACAGTCATCAGGTTTCTTTATGGAACAGGGATGAAAGTCTGAGTGTTCTATGATAATTAAAACTATTTTCATTGGAATAAAAACCCCAAGTAGGCCCGTAGGCCCTTAGCCACTGGCCAGACTTGACTGTTCGGGGGAGCAAGTAATATATCCAGTCTGAACCCAAGTACAAATGATCTGAACAGCAAAATGAAACTTGAAATCCAAAATAAGAATTTGGCAATACATTAGTAGCAGCAAATGAACTAACCGTATGAGGAAATATAATAATGATAAGTGAGTATTTCATAATGAAACATGCTATCAGGTGTCTAGAAGAGTAAGCATACTCTGTCTGACACCAATAACATCAATAGTCATCTGAAGAGTTCATACAAAGTTTCATCACTCTTACATAGTGAGGCTATTAACTTTTCATACTTTATAATCTTTTTGTGGGTACTCAATTTCACTGAGAAAAATCAATCCATTAAAAATAAGAACCCCAAAAAAGTCTTTAAAATGGGACTAACAAAGAATGGTTTCAATAATAAATCATATAATGTTTCTGAAGAAAATCATTCAAAAGTATGATCATTATTTTAAGGTCTTAGGATGACCTAAAACTTATATATTATAAACTTGGCCAAAATGAGTTTTTGTTCATCAGTGGACTTACCTGGTGTCCAAAATACTACAGAATCCTTCTATAATCCAATAAATTTATTAAACTAAGTAATAATCTATTAAACTAAGCTAAGACGGATGTTTCAATAATTATTTAGTTTAATGGATATATTGTCTTATATAGAGATTCTATTTTTTAGTCATGGTACCTGGTAAGTCTAACTGATGAAAATTAAATATTATGTCCATTCCAAGGTAATAATCCGTGTAAAAAATTTTAAAAAAGTAGTACCATTAGGTTAAGTATCAAAAGGTAGAATTGTCTCCAAAAATAATTATGAGCATTCTTTTTTAAAAAATACAATCTGATGAAAAAAAAACAGATTGTCAAAATTTCATATATTATAGGGAAAAAGTCCTTGAATCTTTCACATGCTGAATGATAAACATGTGTAGTCTTTTACATAATCATTTATACAAATCTTAATCCAGTGTCCTCTTGATCTTCTTTGTTTAAAGAAATAGCTGAGGGATAAAGAGATTTCTAAGAGGTATTTCAAATTTTGTATGTGTATCAAAGATACTGATAGGATCAATTTGCACCATTCCAGATGCCTGTACTTTCTTCAATTCTAATAAAAGTAAATGTTTTATGACGTCACCATCGCAAAAGCTGCTATTTGTAAGGAAGTAACAAAACACATATTATAAGTCGAATTGCGGGAACCAGAGATGTCTGATTGAAAATTGGAATGGTGCAAACCGATGAAATCAGTGTCCCTTATACAGATAACAATTTTAGAAAACTTCTTTACAATTCCTTTAAAATTTAAGAATTTTGAACTTGACCAATAAGACCATATATTTATCAGTAGATATACCTGGTGTCATAACATAACATAACAGAATCCTTCTATAATCAGATAAATCCAAAAATCTTAGTAATTATCCATAAATATGCAATTAACTATTGAAAAACACTTAATATTAAGATGAAATGTTTTTCAATAATTATTTAGTTTATGAATTTTCCAATTTTCCAATTTTCCAGATTTTCCAGGGATTCTGTTGTAACTTTATAACACTAGGTAAGTTCACTGATGAATATAGACTCATATTGACCATTCTTGGAATCTTAAATTTTATGTTCATTCTAAGACGTAGTATCACTTTAACTACACAATTATGTCCTTGAGAGCCATATTTTACGTAACAAATAATAAATAATGATATTAGTAAATGAATTTGAGGAAAACAATATCTATTTGTAATTGAAAAAAAAACACTTAATTAGCCTAGATAAATTCTGCATTATAAAAACTTACTTATGACAAGGTTTGCTATAAATTGTTTTTATTTTTTTTGTTTAAAGCTTGTGCTGCCTCAGTTTGTCTTACTCTCTCAGCTTCACCTGGGATCTGACCTAATTTTCCTGCTCTATAATCTTCTATAGCCTGAAAAACACATAAAATGATTCATGTTCAATCTGATAAAATAAGGAAAAGTAACAACCATTTTTTTACAAGGTTATCAACTTAGGTTCACGAGGATCCTTTCTACCAACTGGTCCTTGGCCAAATCTCTTAAATATTACTATCAGCTTCCTATAATAGCCATCATTATATAGAATTTAATAATCTTTCATATTAGAAGCACAAGTTATAGATAAATAAGACAATTTATGGATAGATACTTCTGGAATATTTATAACTTCAACGTATCAATGTGGTTCTCACACCATCATCAGGAATATAATAGAATTCAATAGTTTTTAAACACTACTCACTTACCTGATCTATCTCTTCCTGAGTATTCATAACAAAAGGCCCATAATTAACTATTGGTTCATTAATTGGTTTTCCAGCAATTAATAAGGCATGACAATCTGAAATTATATTTTTTATCATAAAATATTTACATTTAATTGTACCCATGTGAAAAATTTGTATTCATTTATCGATGAATTACAAATTTCCTTAGTGATCTCCGATGACGTCATGACTTTGTAATGACAACTTGGATTTGTGTTGTTGTGTATTCATACTTTGTTCATCCTCAATCTAGCAAAGTAAGTATGTAAAACAGAGCTTAAAATTAATTGACATATAGATTAAGCACAATTTGGCCTCAACTGAATATTGATGAAAATCACAAGATCACCATGAAAATCAATAGATTAAATCAATGCATTGATACAAATCCACAAAAAATGAAAACCATGCAACTAAAACTGTAGCCTGTAGTGTGAGTACAAGACAAATGTTAATGTGTTTTTTTTTTTGCTTAATTTCTTTATGAATATGATATAAAACATTTCCATATATGTCCTGTAAATTGATGCAATATTGCCACTAAAATTGAAAATGTACCTTTTGTTTCTTCTGCATGTATATGAAACTCTGTACCCTTATCACTAAGTACACCAACTTGACCCATGTGTACTGGTAATTTGTTAGATCCTAGAAAACCTGTAAAAACAAAAACAAATTAAATACAAATAGATCCACTAAAAGATAAAGATAGCTTGCTAGGCAAGGTATATTACGCACATTGGCAGCTTTGATTTTAAATAAAAATATTTGACTACAGTATTGCCTCGTTTCATGTGGGCGATTAAAAATATATGATGAAAATTTAGGAGGATAGCTCGCAAGACCACTGGCTTCTTAAGTTTATTAGAATATGTGGCTGAAAGACAATCATCACCAGTATGCAATATTCAACATTTAGTCATACACTTCTTTCAAACTTCTTGTTTGATAGTGCTCTTCCTTCATTATTAATACTTATGGTATTTCCAAATTCTTCATAGAGCAAAGAAAGAAACTCATTTAATATTTATTTTTTAAAGAATTGTCCACAAATGATCATGAAAAAATAAAAGCGTCAATAACTGTGCCTTCTGGAGTGTTTTTACGCAAGAATTTGAATGCTTTTCCAAGAACAAGGACAGTAACTTCTACTAAATATTTTTCCATTTATTTAATTTTCAATAGGGTTTATCCTTAGGAGATAATAAACACTCACACCAAGTTTCGACTAAATCTGTCAAAAATTGTGCCTTCTAGAGTGTTTACGAGCAATTGTAGACTGACACACTAATATACACATATGTATATCAGTAAAATATTGATACGTATTTCCCTTACAAAATAAGCCAATTTACCTGCCCCTCTCCAAACATAACAAAATCCTGTATGAGATAAAGGTACATGTTGAGTAAAACTACTACCAGGTTGAAGATGTATATCTAACATTATAATTGGTATCTTAGTTTCAATGACAGCACTCACACCTAGAAAAGAACCACACAGACAATTAGTCCAAAACATCCACCTCTCTTCCAGCTTCTGATAGATATTTTGACAGTTGTCAGCTGGAGTAGAGTCAGAAAAAATATACCCTATTAATTGGGGATTTATCACACCTCCAGTGATGCATTTTTCTAACATAATATTAAATTACCTTTACAATGACTGTAAATTAGTGTTGGGCATTAACGAAACATTTCGTTTTGTTAGAATCATGTGACCCAATGATGTTTGACCTTTTGGTTGTGCACGCAGGGCGATGTAAGATCAGTTTCATTACAAAAAAACTAACAATAAATTACCTTGAATTTCTAAAAAACAGTGTATTAGGTCAAAGGTTTTAATAATTAGGCTTACAACATTAAAAATTTAAAAATTTTATTCTTTCACGGTACCGGTACCGGTTGCCATCTTTTACATTGTATTGATATAAATTACTAATACATACCTAAACTCTCTCCTGATAAAACTTTAACTGTAACTTTATTATCAGCTGTCTTGGCTACAGGTATTTTTTCTGAAGGTATATCTTGATAACGGGGTTCAATCATTTTCTCCTAAAACAGTTTTAAGTTAATAACTATAGCAATTTGCATGTCTTGTAATGATTTCTTTGCTAATTTGTATACATTAATGTGAAAACTTGGCTATTATCTTTAGCACTGTCACAATGCATGTTCTCTATGGCTAATAACAAAGGTTCCGTACCGTATATTGATAAGACACAATAGGCATGCTAATTTTGGAGTTTTTTAAAGCGTGAAGCCATTTTGATTATCAAGAATGATATTAAAAGACTTTTTGTTAGGTATGGATGACCATATGTTTTTAATGCTCATTTTTGTACCGTCTCTGAACGAATAGCCACAGCAAATATCTTTATGTGAATTTGAAATTAGCTATAAAATTATAAATTTTGAGAAAAATGATATGGGCAGATATTCTTAACTTGAAGTTGTTATTACAGAGGTTAAATTTTCCAATGAAATTTGGAACATTTTTAATAAACATTTTGTAGGATATTTCATGTATTTGTAAGGTATATTTTATGTTTCAAAATTTAACAGATTATTCTGATCTATGAAGATTATATTGTTTATGTGTTTACTTTACCTTGGCTGGTAAATTGATCCAAAGTTGAAACCCTTCCACTTTTCCACCATTATTTATAAGATTCTCTGTTGGCATCTCAGAATGTATTAAACCTTTACCAGCTGTCATCCACTGAATCCATCCTGGTTTTAAAACACCTATAATGATAAACATAGCATATCATGTTAGCAATTTATATTTCATTATAAATTATACTAAATATACCTTTTTGATTTCCTTTTATCCATCAAATGATATATCCAGTATAAAACACTTCTATTGAATGTATATATGATAAGCCAGTTGGGAACTATACGTGCCCATGTGCAACACGCTCATTCTCTACATCCAACTCTGGATAATGTACTATGGCAGTCTATGAAAAAGGATGTCATACAAAGGGTTAACTTCATTCACAATTGTCAAACTCGTGGTATAAGCTTACTCCATGAAGTGAGCAAACTTGTTTTCAACATTCTAAATGATAAATGGATAACTGTCAATATAGTTTACCCTTTATATCATATCCCTTTTCATCATTGGTCATAGACTGCCATAGTAAATCCACATTGTTTGTCCCAAGACAGAAGTAGGGAATAATCATGTTGTGTATGCCCACACGTTCCAAACTAGTTTATACATTACTCTAATGCAATATTCAGCTGCACGGTACAAATATTTTTTTCAGCTATTTAAAGATGTCTAAATAATGGAATTCCAGCTATCTATTTTCTATCTAGTAATCTTTTTTGTTTCCATATAAAACTGCTATAATTTGCTTTGAGAGATGAAGGGATAAATAGAATGCACATTGATCAAATGTAATATAAAAATAGTGAAAAAGTAATCTAAAAGTAATTTAAACATTTCTGTTCTGAAAAGTATCCAATATACAGCTGCAGGCACACGAGATATCTGTCGTGAGTAAAATCTCGCATGTGCCTTTGCTTCCACGACAAGATAATCGCATCCAAGCAAGTTTGATAATTTTCTCTGATGGTTTTATCGTCTGCAAGACAGACCGTCATCTTGACAAGACGGCAATAAAAATCTCCAACCATGACTGTTGCTTAAAAAAGCAAATATTTCGACACCAGATCCCTTTAAGCAACATATTGAATCAGAAACTTGTATTTTGTAGTATAAACATCTCTTACCACTGTTACCAGCTGAATCTTGATGTCTAATTTCCCCATCGATAACATAAGTTACTGTTTCGAAACCTCTATGTGGATGATCTGGTGCTCCTAATGCTTCCCCTGGTTTATATTCCACAGGACCTGGAAATCATTTAAAATAATAAATTATACCCATGGAACGGACAGCAGACTATCTCTGTTTATGTGTTGTAAATTGACAACAAAACAAATGAAAATTTAAATTGAGGTACTCTGATCAATTTAAAATTTCAACTTATTATGAATATATATTGTTAGTCACACTAAAAGTCTAAATAGATTTATTTTCCTGATAATCAATATGTTTTCAACTTAGCTACAAGTTATAATTCTTTACAAATCAATCAACATTTTTGTGCTTCAGTTTTTAAGTGATACAGCAAAACCAGTGGAAATTTTTAAAATCTAATGCTAGGGGCAGACAAATGCAGTTAGCACACGTACACGCTGATTAAAATCACCCATGAAATTTTACACCAGGCTACGTAGCCAATTTATTAGAGTATAAGCCACTTGGTTTGTCCATTGACCAGTACAAATAGCAAAGGCAGCTATATGAAACATTATGTGAAATCAATGGGTTTCAAAAAAATTTCATGATTTGAACTGACAAATTTTTTGAAGTGATTTTTAAATTTTTAAATGTTGTTTAAGAAATCTAAGATATGAGGATCTATTGATATATAGTTACTAACCTATATGATCTAGCATTAAGAAAGGGTCACAGGTTGGTATAACTGTTCCAATAACTTTCCTCACTAGGAAGCCACCACCTTCTGTTTGAACTTTAGGTGTGGCAACTTTTGTAATAATTCTCTCACTCATGTTCTAGTCTCTTCTTTCTGTAACAATGTCAAATTGTATTTCAAATAAAGCTAAGAAAAGAGAATATTTCAAAAGGCAAACTAAAATGTAGCAGCATGAATTCATTAACATGGGTAAGCTTATTTACCACAGAAAACTATGGTGGATACCTGTGCCCTACTGGTTTAGTACCCATAGGAGTTAGTTCAGAAATCACCAATTTTTAATATAATAAAATCACTCTATGAGTCTATGATAACCCTCTACTAATTTGAAGCTGATATTCCACTTCATATAAAAAATAATCAGTAAATTTGATTGATTAAATTAGAACAAAAACAGTAGAGATGCAATTATTAAAAAATCATAGTAACTGACTAAAAATTCCTGAACGAAAAATACTGAAACTAGAAAATAAAATGAAATTTAGTGATTGAGCAGTCCAACACCGCTTTCCGCATGATCTGATGTGAAATTTTAAATTCATAGCATCAGTCCATGAAAAACTTACTAGCTACTAGATAATAATGACTCAATGAAATCATTCAACTCCAGCGTTTTCAGTGACAAATCTCTGCTAATATCTCGAAGTTATTTTTTTTTCTAAAATATTTCTGATGATGAGAGTTATCCCGCTTAGGAATTTATATCCGATTATACCAGACTTAAAATCAGAAAAATAGCCAAACAAACAGTTGCTGTTGCTCATATACGATTTATAGGCTACTAGGCCTATGGATTCATTTTTGGACTCTGAGTTTCAGTTTTCTATTTAAAAGAAGAATATATTAAAACAACAAAATTTAAAGTATACAGGTATTATAAAAACATAGAACAGAACGATGGTAAGAGATATTTACCACGCGAGACAAAATTTTGCCCTCCTCGATCCCTCCTTGGAAAAACTTAGATGGCATGAATGACATGTGGAGTCGCTATAGTTGAGCTCCCTGAGACCCTGAGCTAGCTACGGCACTGACTGTGATGTTAACTTACTGCACTTTTCAGCCTAATAAATTTAGGAATGTCAAAAAATTACATGTTTCATATAATAATCATAATAATAATAATAGTCACGTAACCTATACAGTGGTGTAACCTATTTTCGTGGATATAAGGATTCAACACCGAATTTCGTCAAAGTTAAAAAAACAAAAAAAAATTTGTATGTCTTAGATGTTTCCTCAGATATTCTACAAGATAATTGAAATTGGTTTATTTTGATTTTCTTTATGAATCGTTCACTTTGACCCATATTTCATGAGCATCCAACTCGGCAACGGCGACAGAATGCGTCACCTATTTTCGTGTACAATGTTTGATCTATAGATAAGTCTAGAAAAACACGTTATATGGATACCGGGTGGTATAATTAACTTTTCTTAGTATTTATCTTTAATATCAATTCATTATAACTAGTGACAATTCCTTCAAAGAACCACAATTAAAAAAAAAATAGTGACTGACAAAATAAGATACGTAGCGTGATTTATTGCTAAAAGTCACTGAAACAACATAAGAATATGGTTCCATAGAAATTTTCTGCTGACACGGAATCCGCTAGTTGATCACGTGACTTCATTCGTTGCACTACATTCTAGCAGACGACACTTGGAATTCCGATTACCGCTTGGGATTATAAGGAAATTCGGCCGATAAAAAATGGTGACGTTTGGTAATAAGTGAAATCCGCCATTTTGTATTTGTCAAAGTATACATTAATACATTTTACATTGCTTGAAACTCCTGGATTCATTCTACTAGCTGATTTTGTAGAGAAAACCCATGTTTATCAAAACAAACTAATGCAGAGGTCGCCCAAGGTCGCTCATGTAAATTATTAATCGTTTCCGGAAATCCACGAATAATAGGTTTCCACGAAATTAGGTTACTTGACTGTAATAATTATCACTGGTGACCTCCACATTTGCATGTTTTGATTTACATGGGTTATCTTTACAACGTTAACCTGCAGAATTTTTCCTATCGTTCCAAAGCAATGTCAAATTTATTTTTTATTTTTAACATATATATATACAAAATGGCATATTTCAGTTTTTATCAAAAGTCACAATTTTTTATTAGCCAAATTTCCTTATAATCACCAGCTGTATTCGGAATTCCAAGCGTCGTCTGCTAGAATATAGCCACCTGACAAACTAGCGGATTCCATGTCAGCAGAAAAACACAATGAAGACCATATTCTTATGTTGTTTCAATGAATTTTGGCAATAAATTGTTCTTTGAAAGAATAATTGTCAGTAGTTATAATGGAATGTTATTAAAATACTAAGAAATAATAATTATACATACGTGTTTTTCTCGACTTATATAGAGATCAAACATTTTGCAGCCGTTGTCGAGTTGGTTACTCATGAAATATGGGTCAAAATGGGGGATGCTTAAAGAAAATCGGAACAAACCAATTTTAACTTTTTTTATAGAATATCTGAAGAAACACTTAAGACATACAAAAAAATCCTTATGTTGATTTTGGCGAAATGTTGGCGATGAAAACTTTTATGAACGAATATAAGTTACAACACTGTATATTTTATTCCACGCATGATAAAAAAAATATTTCGGGCATGAAACTTGATAATTATTTTAGTTGACCCTCTGGATGCAAACCTAAAAAAAAAACTCCGTGGAGTGCAAACAAGGCTCTCCGAGTTCCGGGTCATTTCGTATCTTCATCTATGACGATAGTCCGAAACATCGGCCTCTGATGGATATTTTGACAGTTTTCAGCTCGAGTAGAGTCAAAAAAGTCCCTCTTAAATGGAGATTTTCCACACCTCGGAAGATGTGTTTTTTCTAACACGATATGAAATTACATCTACGATGACTGTCAATTAGTGCTGGGCATCACCGTGACTTTCGTTTTGTTGGTATTATGGGACTCTGTGACCTTTGAACCTTTAACTGAGCTACAAAAATTATTCATCTTTCCAAATATATGGTTTTTTTTTTTAGATCCAAATGATTGGTCAGGCTTTCATTCGACATATTGGTAAGCTTTCAACGAGATCTCTGGAAAAAGTTGTAGAAGGTTGAATTTCCTGTTTTAACATGGCAAGAGATGGCAAATGAATTAGTGGAATGAGTCCTTGTGATTGTTCAGACTACAATCAAGATCGGATAACTCCATCGAAGTAGACCCCATCGTACCGACAAGCCTAATTAAACGTGTTTTTACTAATTAAAGAGCAATAACTTTTACACCGCACATAAGATAATTACCAAACTCGAACTTAACCGAGATCTCACCAATAATACCTGCATACCAAGTTTCATCAAGATCGGTTAAAAACTGTAACCTATAACTTGTCAACAAGAAACGTGGGTGGATAAGAAGGGATTTTGGTTTACAAGGCGTGACGAATCGACACTGCGATAACACTTAGCCTACTAATAAGTACGATCTAGATCAGTATTTCACAGGTTCAAAGTCCATGCTCTACTTTCGGTTTGTTTACTATCGGCCTTTGAAGTTCAGGTGAGCGAAACAACTCTAAGAAAATGGTTCTGAATGTTTCCTTCACGACTGGGATGAGAAGAATGTTTTATCTTGTTTCTCCAGAAGAATCTTCATTTGAAAAAGCAGAAGATGTCCCTAAATATATAACTGAGGTAAGTGCATAATGTTTGGCTATATTAGGATTATTATAACTTAATCAATGACATTGCATGCCTGGGAAATTGATAAACAGCCTATTTTAAACGTAGTGTATATGATTGACCTATCAAGTTAAAAGGACAGGTATTCCATTTTTGGAGATTGATTGGGAGTCTTAAATATATGTAGGCCAAAATAGTCTTCAGGAGTACTAGAAATGTACGAACATCGCATAATTCCGTCAAAACTTATTTCTATAAATATTATGTCTTTTCTATATATATAACAGAGTCTCTTTTTAACTTCCAAATGTGGATAATTCTTGACGCACATTAATTTGAAGGCGTTCAATCCCGGCATAGATCGGGACAATAGGGCCTACCTGCGGATTTTTCGACCCGGTTTCCCCTGTCAGTGATGTAGGTAAGAGGGGCTGACATGGAAAAAACGTCTAGTCGTTTGGATGTGACAATAAACGTGTCGTCATTTTAGAGGGGGCCCCTCCCCTTGTAGCCCCGAAAGCAAGTTGTTCGGGAAAAAATCTCATAAATCTCGCCCCTTCGCGGACGTAAACCTGGCTCCGCCTCTACCCGAACGTAAAAGAGATCATTATGATCCGACCACTCCAATCCTCACATTATCATCCTACAAATACGAGACTGCAGTAGAAGTTGCTTCCTGGAAGAGTACAGAATTCGTTCTTTTAACTAGAACTCAGTGTTATATCTATATCTATCTTTGTCTAATTTCATAAAGTAAAATTCGACTTCGGATGCTTCAATGATTAATTTGTGACACACGCAGTTTCGGTCTTGGTTTTACAATGAAAAACTTTATTTTTCTTTTCAGTCATATCCATTTTTCATTTTCTTTGTGGTAATAGAAGTATTGATATCTATGTATAAACAAGACAAAAAGGTGCGACTAAATGATAGTTTGACGTCAGTTAGTGCTGGAATGTATTCAAGGCTACCAATGTAAGTGTTTTTAAAATATCTGTTTTGGGCAAGATATCATCAGCTCTTAGATGTGGTCGTAATAATGATCACCATTCAAATACAAAATTTATAAAATCTGAACACATGTCAAGATATTCTATTACGAATATCATAATTATTTATCTTAATGCATATTTTGGATATTAGTAATATAAAATCGCCATATAAACCAAGATTTGTCAACAATTCGTTTTATCTTGAAACTGATGAAAACTATTACTCTTCCTCTATCAATTCTGTAAAAATTCTGTATTATAGTTGCTGAAATACACTATCGCAAATGCAATTGGAGCCATGATATTATTTGTGCTCAAAGGTTGGTCGTGTGCAGTCGTTTATTAATGAAACACAATCTTGACGAAAGATCATTTATTAATATATAAATGACGTTAACAGAATATTAACATAGCATGAATACAAATGAATAAAAAATATCAAAACAATAAAATCATGCTACAAAGAGAAAACGCAAATTAATAAAAGAAATGTCGAGATAAAAATTTAAGAATTAAAAAACAATAAAATAAAACTTGAACATGTAATCACAACAAATATGGGGGACAATCCGCCGTCCATTCGTCATGTGGGCTAAAACCAGACCAGTGGAGTTGGGGGTGGTGGTGGGTCAAAAGATTTAAATTCCAACTTATTTAAAACATCCGGACTGGTTGAATACCCACGACGAAGTGACGCCAATAAGCGCCCTCCAGTGGAGAAGAATATAGGTAAAATAGATTCACCTCCCCTTGATCACAAATTGATTTAAGATATGTAAATCTTTATATATGCAATGCTGGAAACCTCATCTGAATCCCCGATGGGGGTAGGGGTCACCATTATTTCAACTCTTCACTCGACTATGATTTGAAAATTTAAAAAACACTTAAATTTTAGATTAGGAATAATAATATATTTCTAGATATGTATTTTTATCAGAAAATTTGAATCCACCAAGCTTACATTAACATATGTATGAATTTGTAGGTTGATTATACCGTCTATAAGTATTGTTACCTATGTATGGATTTATAAGAATTTTAATATTATTAATCTACCGTGGAATTCACCATGGACGTGGTGGTTATGTTTTCTAGGTGTAGATCTAGGATATTATTGGTTCCATAGACTAGCACATGGTATGTATGATTTATGAGTTTCATGGTTTTGTATATTATGCAACAATGATTGCTGTATACGAGGGTTCATTTGTTTTTATTGAATAGGGTTATGACCTGAACATAGTTTAGTCTTAAATTTTCATGGAACTAGTGCACGAGAACTTGCAGATATTTTATTCTATCTTTGCATATCTCTCCTAGTCTATAGAAATGTTTTCGGTCTGACTAGTTACCACTGCATCCACTACGTCCATACGAAACAATTATCACTAGCACGACATTTTAGTGGTGTAAGATATCAAGAAACTTCTATCTATTTAACTGCATGCGAACTAATCAGTAATCCTCCGACTGTATCTTGTTACAACCTTACAACAAGCTTTCTTGTTACTTATAGAGGTAAATTTTATGTGGGCCGCCCACCAGGTACATCACAGTTCAGAAGATTATAATTTCTCTACAGCATTACGTCAATCAGTTTTACAAATCTATACTTCTTGGGTAAATATAGTCCTTCATACTTTGATATGATTATTTCATAGTTTCTAAGAAGAATTTCAAATGCGCCTTTATATCTCCTCTTTATTCCATTATATTATCAGATATGATAAAGCATATAACGAAATCAGCTATATATTGAAACTGAATTAAATCAGAAGCTTATCTATATGCTACCACTTTTGAATTTTCCACCCACATTATATGTGTATGTATATCAAAATTCATAAAACAAATTATATGTCCTTAAAGGAAAGACACAACCTTTTTTACAACTGAGGTTCACGAAGATTCCGTCTCTTTCCCGGATTTCCCGTACCCAATTACATCCGAGTCTTACTGAAATCACGAGGAAAAATGACATTGTCAAGATCACCGGACATTCTGAAATCCGCAACCTAGACCATAACTCACGCACGACCATCAATAATTGTTCGAATTGGCCAAGACGGTATGCACAGTTTCTTACGCACTAACCGACCGAACTATAGCCCGCTTTCAACATTCAGTTGCTTTCAGAATGCTGAAAATTTATACATAGTAATTTCAAGATTTGTTTTTTTTTTTTTTGTAATCCGCTGTATCAATGTTTTCAGGTATTTTATTTGCCGTTAGCTTTGTGCATACCACCGCCAATATTTATAGCTCACAATGAGCTTAATATATTATATCAGTTCTGGATACATACTCAGGTTTGCTATATATTTTTTTTGAGGTGGCGTGCATACAAGCGGACATCTACCATCCGGATTATGTTCAGTTTGCAATGGCTTCCTATACATTTTCACGATTTTGGCCTTGTGGCTTTCTTATATTTGGGGCACAGACCAGTTTTCACTGATATCCAATGATAAAAACTTAATGAAATGGGCCTTTCATAGTTCCCTAGACGTGACGTACAAATGTAATATACTGGGTAAGGTCGGATTTGTCGAGCTATATAATTAATATGGTCTCAACATGTCCGTTTCAATTCGCCAATGATTGTTATTGAGTGATAAGATTCTGTTGAACTAATGTAATAAATGAATATAATTTTTATTTTGATGATAGTATATCCGGTCATTGGGGCCACTAGAATATATATTGAATACACCAAGTCATCATCGTGTTCATCATGGAAGAAACAGATATTGTATTGATAAGAACTATGCTGGTACTTTGATTATCTGGGACAGAATATTTGGTACTTATCAGTCTGTATTTAATATGATAATATATAATATAATAATAATGATAATAATACTGCAGTGTATTTGTACGTTCTTGTTTGTATTTGCATTGATGCAACGAAGCCTCTACGAAAATTAGCAAGTAAGCCAACATATAATGTTGCCCAGTTAACACCCACTAAAGAAAGAAACAAAACAAAACCTTGTTGGAGAGTGAATAAGAAGATGATCTATCTTATCATCCGATTTCAGGTACATTCACCCCCGAAGAAGAAGAAGTAGCGTATGGTTTAACTCATCCCGTTGGAACATTTGATGCTACTGATGTACAGGTGATTATGGAAATCAAATGATTTTCTAATGGTTTTAGGAAGAGTAAAAAGCTGCAATGTCCTTTAGTCCTTCAATGGCAAATTAGAAGAACAAATTATAGATAAATTGTTATGGACATATATTTCTTTAATATTTTTTACTTTCGTTTTATTGATATACATTGATCAAGGCCAGATTCGAAATTGGAAATAATTCGATTAGCAGTTTAAGAAAATGGACTCACACTGAGTTATTCAAGACACTGTTATACTTGTTAAAAAGAAGCTATCTTTACGCCATTTATTTCATCTACCCTACAGAAGATCTATCTGGGATTGCTACTTTTAGAAATAAGAAATATTTTATTGTGCAGTTTGGTTATGGGGAGTATCTGGTGCACAGGACCAACAAGATGATCAGCCTTGAAGATAAGGTGAAAAGTTTATTATATGGTCCAGGCTGGTTACCTGGAAAAGCAAGAACTGGTGATATCAACGACATTCCTCAAGTAAAATCTGTTTTTATTCTGTTTTTTTTTTCAGACAGTTGCTTTTAGTGTAAGAACTAATACAAATTACCGGTACAATTACAGATTTTTTCAGCTAAACAAAAGAGTACAAACACAATTTCCTCCTATCGTTTGTTTTGTGCCCTGTTTTATTTTAGATATCCAACTAAACTGTTTTCATGATTTTAGATTGAGAAACCAATCAAACGATATGGAAACATCATACCTACATGGTTGAATATATATGTCGTTGTACACTTTTCTTTAGTCTTTATTGGTTTCCAAATACTGCCTCAAAAAATAACGGTAAGTATATTAGCACCGTAATTCTAAAAGATCATTCGGTATCCAAAATTGACATGTATTTTAAAATTTTTTTGAAGCTCAATTTTTTCTCTCTATTTGTTATTATGATAGATATTTCACATCATGGTTTATATTGATATTTATAGTTTGTTTAGTTATTAGTTAATTATTATGTTCTGTTTATGTTGTTCCTATTAATATTTTGTATCATATTCTGTAGTATTATTGTACATTTAATTAATGTTTTTATATCAAGTTCAATTTTTGTTGTTCCGGTATATATTTTGTATCAACTATGTTGTATTATTGTACATTTAATTAATGTTTTATAATGGCCAGGCTATATAATATCTATATATATAAATTCTAATATATATTATTTCGTTTGATATTTTAGTGCTACCAATGTTTTGCTAATATGTTGTTGGATTTGGGGTCTCGTTTTGCAGTTAATACTTGGTTTATTTATTGTTATTTTGTTGATCTATGTTCTTTTAGGGTTTTAACCAAGCAACTGTGATATTATTTCTACTGTTTATTGGATTTTCTTTGACGAGTTTTGGTCGCCTCTTTGATGGCAGGTATGAGACTTACCACTATTTAATAACTACAATTTACGACTGTCTTTAACAAAAATCGACCTTTTTCGTTGATCTGGCCTTCGATATGTTTATAATTTCAAAGTATTAAGGGGTCTTTAATATACGAGAGATGACCTCCCTTACTGTCATCATTAACAAATAAACCGTAAGAAAAGAATCAGTCCACATTAGGAAAAAAGTTTAAATACAATGAAATAACATTATAAGCATAAAGTGAGTTTTTTTAAAAATTGAATATATCGATATATATTAAAGGGATTGTAAAGAGGTTTTCTAGATTTTTATGTGTATCGGGGACTCTGATAGCACCATTCCAATTTTCAGTCAGACGTCTGTGATTTTTGCAATTCTACAAAAAATAAGTGTTCGATGACGTCACCAATTGCGAAATATGCTTACATAAAGCTCTTCGCGATTAGTGACGTCATCAAACACTTAGATTTAGTGAAGTTACAGGACGTCTGATTGAAAATTGAAATGGTGTAAATTTTGTCCTTGAGACACAAAAACTTTAGAAAAACTTCTTTACAATCCCTTTAAGGAAAATTAGAAACGAATAAGTAAACGAAATTATTTTTTTTCAGGAAATCCGGAACAGTGATGGAATTAGTGAGATGTATAATATATTTAATTGCTGATATTACGCTGACGCTCACGGGATTTTATTCCTCGACCATTCTCATTCAATTACTTCGTATAATTTTTATTTCCTCTACTGTAATATGGATAAGAAAATGCCAACATTTCGGTTTACCAAGAATCCAAGACAAACAGAAGTGTAATTAACGGTGTGGAGTAGGTGTATAAGCATCTTTGACTTCACATATACCAACATCTTCACAATGTCAAGTTATTACGAATTGACAGCAATAGCCCCAATTATTGAAGTTTGTAAATGCAGCGATTTGATTGGATTGTAAGCGAATCAGAGCACTCAACACAAAGAATGTTAATAATTGGACTGTGCGTGTAATGGGTGTTCGGTAGCGTGCAATCTAATCAAAAAGCTATTCTGTGAAATGTCTGTGAAAGAAAGGTGACTATTGTATTCAAGATATAAGACGAGGTTCGTAATAGCTGGACATTGTGAAGATGACATACTCAGTGAGCATCCATGACTTCAAAGGGACAGGTAGGCCATTTTTTGACCAATATCATACTTTGGTCTCAGAAACTGGGATTGTATAGCTGAGCTAATCATTAATAGTGTTCACAGCTCACCGTCGAAATTTTAGCCTTCATATCCATGTGTGGTCAGAATGATCTGCATTTGAATGTTAAAATGATGACTCGTCAATTTAAGATACTCTGTGATATATAGAAATGACATACAGGAAATAGTGAGTAAAATTCGTAGTTTGAAGTATTTTTAAAGGAATTGTGCGATTTTCTTACATTTCTAGTACTTCTTGAGACTATTTGCATATATTCAAGACTGAAATCAACCCCTCATAATGGCACATCTGTCATAATAAAATATACTCAGTTTTTTATGTTGTGCTTAGCTGAATTCTGCTTCTCCAGTTTTATGTGGAATGTCTTACATGTTATATTGATTTTGCTTTATTTTGTAAGTTTATAATGTCTTATGCTGTATGACCTGGAGTAACTATAAATGTCGACTAGATAAATAAAATGAAACATAGATGAATGAATGGAATAAATGAATGCGAAGCTGAAAGCCAGACGATCAACTTTTATGATGTATTCTGTTGCTCTTTTTCATACTTCAAAATATATTTGTTTGTTATCAAAAGAATTTTTGTTGTTATAAACCCAATTTAAAAGTGTTTATATCCACCTTTTGTATCGGATTCAGTATTGCTATAGCATTTCATGCTCGACATTAAGTTTAAACACTCATGAGATTAAGTTGGTCATATCGTTCTAAAATAATTTGGAATTTTGGTTTCATATTATGCTATATATGAAAACGACCAGCTCCAAGAAGATAGAGTAAGGAGACGCTTTGTGTCAATATGCAATAATTTATATAAAACTTTACAGCCAGCTCTGAATGATTAACGGCTTCCTTAAAATTATTTATAACTACAATAGATGTAGTCTGAAGTAATCGAAGCTATTGCGTCAGTAATCTCCCTTATGACAAGACACTATAAATATTTATTTATTGTATACTAGCATATGTAAGGATGAAGCTTTCGAAAATTGTTGGGAGTTCGTTTCAGTTCTAAACGGATGGGATAGATCAGTATGATATCGCTTGCTATAGCTGCTCGCTTTAGTGACATAAATATTGGCAGTATCGACACGAAACTACACGAATATGCTTTTAATGGCGATCTCACGGGATTGAAAGAAACATTATCCAGTCTCTCAACCTCAAACATCCAGTCACTTTTGGATAAAAAGAACCACCTTGGTTGTACAGCATTGCGATTAGCATCCACAAGTGAGTCAAAATATTATTTTTTGAAAAAGAATCTTTTTTTGGAATCTGATTTTGGATGCTGTTTAAAGTCTTACAGGAAAAACGGACGAAAAATCACAAGTGGTGAATTGGAAAGCATCGATGCTTTAGTAAGATGATTTTAAATGCAATGTTAAACCCTTAAAACCCTAGAGCCTCGATAGGTTATAACTGATTGAACTTGAAATGAAATTAAAATCATCTTTCTATGCAATCGTCCATTAACTTATTACTTTGCAATCCAGCATAAAGGCTTTGGAAAAGTAAAAGTCGTTCTATTCTGTCAGGCTATATTCGCTAACATGAAAAAGGTTGCAAGGGGAACCTTAAAAAACACAAAATAGTAAGTATTTATAGGGGGGTGGTGGGTAAAGCAATCGATCAAGAATCATTTAAGGGGTTATAGAACGAAGAAGGTTGGAAACACTCCTAGTAGAATGTAATACAATAGAGCTTTATTGAAACGGCTGATTCGTTTAACATCTCTTGTAAACGATTGAATGATCAAAATTGGGACCAATAGATTTTTTTTCATGTACATTTTAGCTGGAAACACACCATGTGTACAATATCTGTTATCTATGGGTGCCTCTGTGGATATAGCTGACATCAAAGGACAAACTCCGTTGTTTGTTGCTGTTAAAAACAACCATGTCAAATGCGTACAGATTTTATTGGAGAGTGGTGCCAATCCTGAAGGTGACGAAGCCAATATGGCAACCCCACTCTATACTGCAGCACTTAACGGCTTTTTGGAAATCATGAAGGTATTTTAACGAACCTCAAATCTGTCTCATGCTTAGTCCTAGTAATTTTTATAGTACATTACACTAATAAGGAATGGAGTATTAGTGTCATCAAAATTCTATTTAAAAAATCTTCATAGCTTTTAAGCTGCTGTCTATTTATTACAATTCATGGCATGGTTTGAAAATATTATTGTTATCCGAAAGAAGAGTTCTAAATGATGTAATATTGAAATTTGACAGAATCAAATTAAATTATCTTTTCAGTTACTCATCCAGCATGGTGTAAATCTAAAACCAATGGACCAACCAAACAGGGTGACACGGATATTCTCAAACGATGCATTAGAAGTTGCACTGGCATATCATAACTTCAATTGTTGTAAGACCCTTCTTTTGGCAGGGTATGAAACTTGGCCAATGTCGTTATGTCATATCTTAATAAGGTACAAAAGTAATCGTAAAATGTTGAAGCTCTGCTATGACTTTGGGTTTGAAGCTGTTAGTGGGGATAGAAAAGAAGATCTCAATAAACTGAATGAAGAGAAATATTTTGAAGCTATTGGGTTTTTAAAATACGTTTCAGGTGAATGCGATTTTGAATACTTTATATTACATAAGTATTGAAAAACACAAGGACGCAGATTCCTTCGAAAATGGACACTATCAGACTTTGTTTCAATCCACATTCGTAAAGAGAGTACAACTCGTCGCAATAGTTCACTGTAGGTCGTTCTCTAGTTTCAAATTTAACCGCATGGTGCAGAAACGTAGGACGTAAAACTCCATTCATTTCATTTCATTTTTAGTTTCCGAAACTTCATGATCGTAACTGATGACAATACAAATTACCAGAACATTATTGTGATGAATGCATTAACCATATAAAATAACTCAAAAAGTGGACAGTTGTTGGAAACCTTCAAATCGCACTGAAGTGAATTAGGCCTACAATTTTATGTTTGTAAATTTCTATTTTCCAGCTAATCCAAGAAGCTTGATGTGTTCATGTCGACTCACAGTCAGAAGACATATAAAAGATTTGAATCGACTTGACGATTTGGAATTACCGGTCTCGTTAATAAGATACTTACTACACTTAGATTAGAAACTAATCAACAGATGTGTTATGGTGCAATATTTTTTTTTCATCTGTGATAGTCGTCCGTAGTTTGGAAAGTTATTTTGTATTTTATTGAAGAGGTCTAGGTAGGAATTAGTTTGTGTATATGCTACCATCAAGTGACATCCAACATCAGAAACTTTCGTTTCCGTTTTTTTATTAGTTTTTATTTTTAGTAAAGCACTCTGAAGTGCATTCAGCATAAATTTGAATTTGAAATCAAAATCGCGTTTAAAATGACGTAATTTTGGTTTAAGGCTACATGCATTACAAACACCATTTGGATTTGCTTCTTCTTCCAAACACTTGATACCACTTTTATTATTCACTTATGATTGATATACTTCCTCATGTGAAAATTTCATTACCTACGGTTTCACAAATAGGTTGTAAGGATTTCGGGTTTTGTTTTCCGGTTTGAGGATCGTGAGTGCATGATAAATTTATTCCACACATTAAATCGTGTGGCAAAAAGTCTTGCTTTCAGTCATCAGAGAACCAGTGTTCGACCTTATACAACGGAAAATACGACAGAAACATAGTATTATAACCATGGACCTCGATTTTGACTTTCTTGAGCGTTTGTCATCCAAAGTCACAAAAAAATCGTGACATATTCTCAAAGTTTTCAACCATACAATATAGTCAAATTTCAAATTGTGTTTTTCAATTAATGTTAATAGAAGGATTAATCTTTGTTGTATGGATTTCATTTGGTCATTTGACAA